GAATTTTAAATCCAACTATTGGATCATTGAAATTTGATGTAAGACATGAGTTATTAAACGAAGTAAGTCTTTATAGACTTACTTCTAAAGTAAATGAATCTCTCTTCATATACAGTGATGGATCCAAAAAATTTGTTAAGTAGGGACAATAAAATATTTTATATCATTTTTACTAAAAAAATATAATAATTTTTTGAAAAATATATTATAATGGTAAAATTTAAAAAATATCTTATTTTTATAAATTACCAATTTCTTATAAATAGAGCGATAATTTTTCTTTTTTCTCTTTTTGTCTGAGATTATATTTAAGTGTCACTTTATAATTTTTTATGACTTATTTAAGATTAGAGGAATAAAATGGTAAAATCTAATAGGATAAAAATAATAAAATTATTAATTTGTTTTCTTTCGGTGTCTTCTAAATGTCTACACTCATTTAAAACAAAAATGTTTTATGAGTACATTGTATTTTTTTTTTATATAAGAATAAATTTCTTTATTTAAATATATTTAAGTTAAAAAAATTGTTTGACAATTACTCTCATTCTTCTTAATGTGAATCTTATCCTACCAACACACAATATACATATACATGCTCAAAGGATTAAAAAATAAAATAAAAATTAAAAGAAACCTATATTAATAAACTAAATTATGACATATTTAATTAGTAAAGAAGTAATAAATCTTTTAGCCAAAAAATATAGTATATTTTAATAATAATAATAATAATAATAAAGTTGGAAGGATCTACTTATTTCAAAAGTAAATTTTGATAGACTTATTTCACTCAGTAATTCATATTTTACATCAAGTATTCAATCGTTCAATTAAAAGTCTTTCATATATAAATCAAATAAATAAATTTTTAAAAAAATTAAAAATTATTTAATATTTCATTTTTTTAATTTAAATTAATAGATAATAAAAAAATATTTTATATCTTATTTTGAATCTATCTAATGAAGTATTATATGATTTTTATTTTAAAAAAAATTGATATATACATTAAAAGTTTTTAATTTAATAGTTGAATTTTTAAAAATTTGATATAGATTACTCACTGAGTAGAGTAAATATCAAAACTTATTCTTGGACTAAGTGAATTTTTTTCTCATAAAAAATTAAGATAATTAATTTTATCACAAAGTGAAAATAATTAAATAATAAAATAAAATAAATATTAATACATTTTATTATATTAGATATAATAAGGTAATTAAAATATAATTAATAATATATTTT